TTGCAGTTAAGCTATAGCAAGTAATAACAAAATGGATTTCTATTACTCGCCTATTTCTATACAATGCCGTTCAGTTCTAATGACTGCTAAAACTCTTGGAATTGAATTGAACAAGAAATTGTTGAACTTGCAAGCCGGTGAACATCTTAATCCCGAGTTCATCAAATTGAATCCACAACATAACGTTCCAACCTTGGTTGATAACGGTTTCTCCATTTGTGAAGCCCGCGCTATTTGCATCTACTTAGTTGAGAAGTATGGAAAAACTGATTCCTTATACCCAAAATGTCCTCAGAAGCGTGTCGCCATTAATCGACTTTTGGACTTCGAGGTGGCTGATTTGAACAAAAGCTTCGCGGAATATTATCACCCACAAATAATCTGTAAAGCTCCAGCTGATCCTAAAAACCTTAACCTAATTGAAGGCGCCTATCACTCTTTGAATACATTTTTGGAGGGACATGAGTTTGCTGTTGGCGATAGTCTCACCTTGGCTGATCATTTCTTATTGGCAAGTGTATCCACATTCGACGTAGCTGGTTTCGACTTCAGCAAATATGCTAATGTTGCTAAGTGGTACAACAATGCAAAGAGTGTCGTACCTGGCTGGGATGAGAATTGGGCTGGCTGTCAAGAGTTCAAGAAGTTTTTTAACTAAGTTTGTTAATTCTTTAACATGATAGAAACGTATAATAATCATGCGATGACAATTGTTTATTCCCATTTTTCACGAACTATGTTTTAAGTGTAAATTACTGAAAAATTTGTGAATTCCAACTTTTGTAGGAATTTAAGTGTATAAAGTATTTTAATTAAAGTGTAAAGTTTGCCATACGTATGGTATAATATCAAAATAAGAATATTCATATTAAAACATAGTTAAGAGATATTTAATTAACGATTTTTATACCATAAATAAATAAATTTTAACAATTAAATGAAGTTGTTTCAGTTATTAAAGTTTATTGAATATTTATTGCAACTTTTAACTTTTCTGGTTTCCCAAAAAATTTATTAAAACTTATGTGTAGAGAAGTTACTGAAAGTGTATAATTTTATATGATATTATTATATATGCAGTGCAGTTTCAACTGTTACAAAATATTGGGTATAAATGTATGTATTACTTAATAAAAAGAGGACCCTGACCCTGGACTAACCATTAACTCTGACCAAGAAAAATATGAAAATTGTTTTATAAATGTGAGCGATGACTTAAAAAGTTCGCTTTTAAGATTTATATCTTAATATAGTCTACCATGCCAAAAAAAAAATACATTTACGAAAATATTTGTTCTAATAGTTTGAGTAAACTGCAGTATTTCAAAACTTGTAAAATTATATTCGAAAAACTTAGAATTTTCTTCTTATTTAAATAAAACATAGTACTAAATTTGATTTTAAAGTCAATTATGACGAAAAAAACCACGTTTCTTAATAGATACTAATAATAGATCATAGTAAACTACAACAAATTTTTATTATTTATTAATTAATTGAATTTTTAACTGTTTCCAATCTTTCGAGTATTGCCAAATAGTCTTCATCAGTGGTATTTTTGGAAATATTTGTTGTATATATAACTATAAATAACGTACACAATACACAATGCATAGATATATTCTGAATCATTGTGACAAAACGAATTCAATAATTAATGTTCAACTGTTAGTCTCTCTAATTAAATTTTAGTCAACTAGATTCTCCGATTTTTAGCTTATCAAGTACAATTTTATGCAGAAAGTCTTATTGGGGTTTGATATATGAACTCGGTATTTCAAAAAAATAGGTGGATTTATAAGAATTAAAAATAATCACTGAAAATAATTTTAATAATTATATTAGTAAATACTTACACAAGAACTTAATTTCTGATTACAAATTATATGTGCTATGACAACAACTTTTTTGAATAGAAAAGGAAATTTTCTAATCCAAATATTTTAATGATCAATCAATTGAGTTCTATGCCTGACCGTAGTAATGTTTCGGATACTGTAGAAACCAATCATCATTGGTTTATAAAAAGATCTATTGGTTTAATAGCACGTATATAATATTAAGAATACAAGCATCAACAATAAAGTATCGTAAAATTTGATTTGTAAAATAACTAGCTGTGTGTAGAGTATTGATACTTCAGAAAGCCAAAACTAAATCACATTTGTGATTATTTATTATATGTTTATTAATACTATATATTTTGTTTTGCTCAATCATTCCACACAAATGCTACTATAACATTCAGTCTTATCAGTTCAGTTATGATTAATTATTATATATAATTAGTAATGTGTAAGCTCTATTCAAATTGACTGCTATAGGACTTGCTTGGAATTATTTTATATTTAATAAATATACATATATTTAATACATCAGTTGCAATAATTTCTTCGAACTGCGAACACGTAAAATTTATTAGTTCCACAGTTTAGTGTTTCAGTACAAAATACAAACAAATATAAGCTTTAGAAAAGCATATCATATAGAATTCTTATTTATATATATAATTATGTATATATCTTCAAGTTGTTATATTATAAAAATATAAACAAAATAGAAAATGAGTCGCCTTAGTTTTATAGATGTGGGAAAACTTGTATCGAAGTGAGTGCAATTTTGTTGAGCATAAAAAAAAAATAAAGATTATTTTTAATTATATAATTATGTATATGCAAGTATGTGTTAAATATTTACATATGAGTTGAATTTTAAAATATAAACAAACTAGTAATGAGTCTCTTAGTTTCACAAATGCGGGTGCACTTCTATCTGAATAAAATTTATTTGACTTATTGCAGTATTTCGTTTATACGAGTATTGCGGTTTATTTTTTAAATTCATAAAATTGAATTTATTCAATTTGTAATATTTAATAATCGAATTTAATTTTGTTTCCAGTAAATGAGATCCCTTGTATGTAATTTTAATTCGTAATGTTAGTAATAAATTAATTTTTAACTTGGAATGCCAAATTTTTTGAAAAACTTTTTTATATAAAAAATATATGTAAAATGTTCATGCAATTGATTCATATAAGAATTTCAAAAATTTAAAGGTACTTAAAATTTTTTGGCTTGTCCGAAACTGTTTCCCTCATTCTTATTTAGAGACACAAATATTTTTAATGAGATTTTTAAATAATTGGGATTTCATTTATTGTAAAAATAGTGACTTTTTATTAACAGAGTAACTATACTATATGTATATCGAACCCTTATCATTCGCATAAAATAATATAATAGCAGAGAAATAACTTTGCAATATATACAAAATACTTTTATAATTTTTTACCATATAATATATAAAATTATTTTAAATATTTAATAACATATTCAAATAATGATACCTTTTCAGAGCTGTTAAATTCAAGTATGATCAATACAGCAAGCAAACTAATATAACAGAGATAGTTAACACAGACAAAGGTCCAGTGAAAGGCGTAAAGCGTTTAACAGTATGGGATGACGCCTACTACAGTTTTGAAAAAATTCCATTTGCTAAACCACCACTTGGAGACTTACGCTTCAAAGCCCCTATTCCAGCTGAACCATGGACAACAGTATTAGATTGCACAGCACACGCGAAACCACCTTTACAGAAAGGAATATTTTATAAGAAATATAAAGGTTCAGAAGATTGTTTGTATTTAAACGTTTTCACAAAAGAAGTAAATGAATACATTTTTATTTAAAATGTAAAATATTTATTAACGTTAATATATTCAAAAATCAGATTAAACCCACAACTCTACGACCTGTAATGGTATGGATTTATGGTGGCGGTTTCCAAAGAGGAGAAGCAACACGCGAGTTTTATAGTCCCGATTATTTTATGTCAAAAGATATTGTTTTAGTCAGCATAGCTTATCGCTTGGGTCCACTTGGTTTTTTGAGCATAGATGATCCAGCTGTTAACGTACCAGGCAATGCCGGTATTAAGGATCAAATACTCAGTTTGAAGTGGGTGCAATCAAATATTGCTGCTTTTGGTGGTGATCCAAATAATGTCACACTTTTTGGTGGAAGCGCAGGTGGTGCTTCAACACATTTCTGTATGCTTACAGAACAATCTAAAGGTTTGTTTCACAGAGCTATTTTAATGTCCGGCAGCGCATTATGTCCGTGGGCTATGGCACCGCAAAATCATTGGGCCATCCGACTAGCACAAATTTTACATTATAAAGGTGATGAAAATTGTAGTGCCGATATTTATAAGTTTTTGTCACAAAGTAAAGGCGAAGATTTGATAACAGCAGCTAGCACTATTTTAAATGATAAGGAAAGGCATAAACGTGTATTGTTTCCTTTTACACCTACTGTGGAATCCTATGAAACTGAACAAGCCACATTAATTGGATCTGCATATGATATGCTTGAAAAAACTTGGAGTAATAAAATACCTATCATTATAAGTGGTACCAGTTTCGAGGGATTACTATTTTACCCAGGTTAGTTTGTAACTCTGATTTATACGAGTCAATATTAATAATATATATAAGCTTTATCAAAAGCTTTTATTAAACTGGCTATATATATATATATATATATATATACATAGTTACTAGATAACACTTTTAATTTATATTATATTACAGATACCATTAAACGTTCCGCTACTTTAGATGAAGTTGAAAATTGTGAGCATTTACTTCCTGCTGATATAGATTTGAATCAAACAGATGAAAAGTTATTGGAATATGGTTTAAAACTAAAAACCTGTTATTTCGGCGAAAATGGATGTAATAGAAAAGATATAATGAAATTCTTAGAGGTAGAAATTTTTTCTCTCTTATGATATTGACAAAGCATATTTATATAGTTTGTACAGACCTACATAAGTAATATATATACATTGTGATATATACCTGCATAAGTGTAAAAAAATTTTTACGAAACACCTTATATATATACATAATATACAAATATGTATATATAACTGTGCAACACACATTTAGTGTTCGCTCGAAAACGTGAACTAACTGAAACTAAAAATTTTGTTCACTATTTAAAGAAGTGAATACGAAGTGAAAGGTGTGATCGTAATCCATCGTTCACTTAAGTCAGTCTTTACGTTTTCTTGTGTTTAATGCATCTCTTTGCAATTTCATTATTAGTTCAAGAAAATTAGATTCTAAATTTAAATACTTTAAAATCTTTTCCAGTTGGAGTCTGATCGAGAGTTTTGGCACCCAATCTACCGTACCGTTCTATATCGGTTATGTGCTAACTCAGCACCAACCTATCTCCTACGTTTTGATTTTGATTCTAAGGAGGGCAATTACGTTCGAAACTTAGTATGCGGTAAAGACATCCGCGGAGTTTGTCATGCTGATGACGTGAGCTATATATTTCGTGGCGCAATTAGCGGCACTCATATAACGAACTCTCCTGAAGATTTAGTCATAAGAACGATGATTAATATATTTACAAGTTTTGCAATAACTGGAAATCCAAATTGTCAAGAACTTGCTCATGTGAATTTTGAACCAGTTAAGAATTCTAGTGAAATAATGTGTCTCAATATTTCCCACAAAACAGAGTTTATAAAACTACCAGAGCTGGACAAAATGAAAGTGTGGGACAGTTTTTATAGAAAGTGATATTTTTAGATCAATTAGACAATTGTTTTTTTATTTTTTATAAAAATAGAAAATCAAAAAACAACAAAATAAAGGTTTTGAATAAAAAAATAAGTATTATTGTTACTTCGATACATGAAATACGTATATGTTATATAATTTTATTTTTACTGTAATTTATTTAAAGAGACATGAGCAGCCAGTTAATAATTTACCATTACTTATTTTGATAGACAAATTAAAAGCTGGAAGTTTCCGAGACGTTCCTCGGAAGCGTTAAATAATTGTTAAATAATTGTCTGAAAGTGGAATTTGAAATATAAAAAACATGGCAAATGAAATAAAATGCAATATAGGATAGGACTTCTATAACAAAGGATAAAAAAGCAAAGAGTATCTTATTTATATGCATGAACCCAAACACCACCAATGTTACCTATAACACCGACACACTTTCCCTGACACAAGAAAAAAGATTAATAACGAAAATAATCTATGCAAAAACAACACAATTTAATTAACAGACAGATAGATTAACAACAGATAGTGCAACGGAAAAATCCTTACGGAGCAACTGGGAACTTAAATCGTTCGATAAAAAACATAAAATCTAGATGTTCTGTAGGTAGTTCTCAACCTTGGCTAAAACCTATCCAGAAAAAGCAAAAACTTCTGTTTTTCGTTTAAAAAAATGTTTACCGTTAATGCAGGATAATAATGAATCGGTTTAATTTAAAAGGACTCCGTTATAGTAGTCACAAAGTACTTTTTTATTTTAGAAAAATATCTTTATGATAATTATAAAGAGCTTAATTTTCGGAGCTTTATGAAATCAGTAATAAAGTACCGCAAAGAAGTCTCTTCGGATGTGTCACCTGTTTTTCATCTGGAGCCTTTCCTCGAAAATGGCCGCACTGCTGTAGATAATAGTTTTCTTATTGTCTGTGATTAAAGTATAAAATCTATAAACTTCTCTTGAAGACATAATAAGGTATTCAAATTTTAATTTAAAATTTAACTAATAGTAATTCATATATATTCACTAATATATTAATTCATATAGACTTAAGTCATTTGAATATCACACTAAGGTCTGGTTTTATCGACGGCTAAGTAAAATATATGAGCATTACTTAAGACTCAAAACTCATCTGAAAGAAACAATCAAGAAATTTGGGCAAAAACTCCATTTTGTGAACAAACAACAAAGTAAAGCTAAATGGGCAAGTTTTGAAGCTAATCTGAACATGTAATATCAAATTTTGAGATTATAGCTACGTGAATAATCTGGAAGTCCCAAAATGTATTGTACATACGACATGATATGAGAGAACTATATAGAGATCAAAGCATACCTTGAACCATGAAGTTATCATTTGATTTTAGCATAATAATAAAATATTAAAGAACAGTTTTTTTAATGATGTGATATTTTAGGATCCTGTTAAGAAAAATATTATATGGTTTTATGTCTAAGAATATCATACTTCTAACTTCTGATTAGGAGGCAAGTAAAGCCATAAAATGTCAGAATCGAGTAAAATCTATTTTTTTTTTAATTTTAATACTAAAACATACATATAACTTTCCTATAACTACGAATAAATTAAATTTAAACCATATTCGAAAAATATATTAACTAATAAGCTATAGTTTTCAAAAAAAAATCTATTCTGAGTCAGATTGTCTCCATTTCATTTATTGATAAATATAGACATATTAAAAAAACAATTTAATGCTAAGAATGTAGCTCATAATCAAATTCGTATATGCCATCAATATTATGAAAATTTGGAATGACGAAGCTTAAATGATATTGCATAATTATAAACAAATTAAACGCTATCGTTGTTGTATAATTTCTAAACAAATTATTTATATATATTCATTATCAATGTTATCAATTCACTTGATATGAGGAATATAAGGAATTATTTATAAACACTTTTCTTATATATTAACTTACAGTCATACATACATGCATTTACATATATATTTACAAGTGTAGCGTAGATTTGCCGGGCTCATTTCAGAAATTCAATAAAATATTCTGAGCAAATCAGTTATACCAAAGCTCTCGATCTGTGAAAGTGTGAAGTTTTATTTTCCATACCGGCTTATTCGTATATTTTAAAATTGTTAACTTGCCAATCATTTACTAAATATATATAAACACAAAACAAAAATGAGTCATTTCAGTTTAATAGATGTGGGCAAATTAATGTTTAAGTAAGAATAATTTTAAAAAATGTTTATCGGAAAGTTTCAAATGTGCTTAAAAAATAAATATGTATATATACATATATAATATAAAATATATATAATATTTATTTCCCTTTAAAATATTGAACAATAGTTCATATTTTTCCTGCATAGGTCGATACCGTTCTACAAGGTTTGCTCCACTTAGAAGGAGAAAGATCATTAATTTCGTTAAAGTACAAATTAATAAAAAACTTTATATTTGTATAAATGAATAATATAAATATATATTAATAAAAATTTAACATGATGTTTATTTATATACATATATAATCAGTTAATTGTGGAGAAATGTCTCTAACTTAAATGAATAATAATGAGACCCTTTTATCTCCATGTCTAAGTGATACTCGAAATATAAAAATATATTACAGATAGTAAGAGATATACAATAATTAATTTTAATTTATATGTCGAAAGTTGTCTAACGCCAAATGAAATGATTTTTTTTTTTCAAGATTTGTGAAATTTAAATATGAACAGTATAGTAAACAGACTAATATAACCGAAATAATCGATACCGACAAGGGACCAGTACAGGGTGTGCAACGTATTACAATATGGAATGATGCCTACTACAGCTTCGAAAAAATACCATTTGCTAAACCACCACTTGGAGATTTACGGTTTAAAGCTCCTGTACCCGCTGACCCATGGACGACAGCATTAGATTGTAAATCGCCTGCCCCACCACCGTTGCAAAAAAGCATGCTCTTTAGTAATTACAGAGGTTCAGAGGATTGCTTATACCTGAATGTGTTTACTAAAGATGTAAGATGTGACATATTTTCATATTTTCCATGCAATTGATTCTATAAACTTCTAGATTAAACCTGCAGCGTTGCGTCCTGTAATGGTGTGGATTTATGGTGGTGGCTTTCAAGCTGGCGAGTCTTCCCGCACTTTATTTAGTCCAGATTATTTCATGTCAAAAGATATTGTTTTTGTAAGCATTACGTATCGTGTCGGACCACTTGGTTTTCTAAGCATTGATGATCCAGCTGTTAACGTTCCAGGCAATGCCGGTATTAAGGATCAAATACTTAGTCTAAAGTGGATACAAACAAATATTGCTGCTTTTGGTGGTGATCCAAATAATGTCACACTTTTCGGTGAAAGTGCTGGTGGTGCTTCTACACATTTCTGTATGCTTACAGAACAATCGAAGGGTTTGTTTCACAAAGCTATTTTAATGTCTGGCAGCGCATTATGTCCATGGGCTATGGCGCCTAGAAATCAGTGGGCACGACGTTTAGCACAAAAATTGGGTTATAAGGATGACGAAAACAGCGGTGCTGATATTTATAATTTTTTGGTACAATCTAAAGGTGCGGATTTAATAAAAGCGGCTGATACCATTCTTATTGGTAAAGAAAAACATAGACGTGTATTGTTTCCGTTTACTCCAACTGTGGAACCATATATCTCAGAGTCAAACATTCTTAATGAGCTAGCGTACAATATGTTGGAAAAGACCTGGAGTAATGATATACCTATAATTATAAGTGGTACGAGTTTCGAGGGTTTATTATTTTATCCAGGTTAGTTTGTTTCAATAGTCGTTGATTTGAATCGAATAACATAGGTATTTACTTTCAATTTATATTACAGATATTATTAAACGACCCGCAACTTTAGATGAAGTTAAAAACTGCAAACACTTATTGCCTGCTGATTTAGATTTGGACAAAACAGATGAAAAGCTAGTGGAGTATGGTTTGGCACTGAAATCATGTTATTTCGGAGAAGAGGAATGCAACGTTAAAAATATGATGAAATACTTGGAGGTATAAACTTTGATTTCTGTAATCATTTAAAATCATAATACATGTTGTGTCGGTTATGTTGAATAGTTACAAAAGGAACTATATTAGATTTGGTGAAGAACACTAAGTAATGTCTGAGTCATAAAGCGAATTCGCTGCAACCAAGTTACGGGTAATGAAACAAAAATTGCAGCAATATTCTTTTGA